TATATATATATATATACATATATATACACATATACATACACAAATATATGTGTATATGCGTTCTGTGTGTCTGTGTCTGTGTATATGTGTATATGTATACATTCATAAATAATTTTTGATAATTATTCTCAAAATCATCATTCACTTTTTAATTCATCTTTTCTTGCTAATTTCTAGTATAAAAACTCCAAGTAAAACAATTTCATCATTTTATAATTTTACTGATACATCAGACAAGCTTTCGGGCTAATTTACTCATTATGAAACACACCTAAATTATTTTTATTGCTAATTAATTCTTTATTTTAATCTATTCAATAAATAAATAACTACGTTTAAGCAAAATTTAAAAAAAAATAAATAAAAAAAACATAGCAAATAAAATAGTAAAAAATTGTCACAAATATAAAATAATATATCTTTTTAATGTATGTTTTTGACCTTTTCTAAAATTTAATTTTTTATTTATTGATTGAACGAAGGACTAGAAATCGTGCCTAGATAGTAAAATTGTAATCTAGGTAGGCAAATAAAAAAAAAGGTTCCATCGATTTTAGTTTTTTTTTTTTTGTTCAATGTAAATTTAAATTGTTTTCGTAGCTTGGTGGGGTAAAGGACCTGACTTAGCAATGTATGTAAAGTAATCATGACCCAGTGATGCTGCATGGGACTACATAAATATTTCCTGTCCTTTCTGTCGTTGAAAAGGGAACTCGAGGTCTTAAATAAATATTTGAAATCCTAGAAAAATATAGCTTTCTTTTAAAGTGATATTTTTTTCTTATTTATTTTAATTGGCATTGAGATATCTATCTGTTCAACCACCATAGTTAAATCGTTAAGCTTAGTTTTACTGAGATAATTTTGAGGGTAATTAATTATCCCGAATCGTTTATAAATATATACATATACACACAGACACACTCATATATAATTTCTTTTCTTTTTTTTTTTCATCACAATAATAAGTAATTTTGAGAAGATTTTATGTTCATTTATATGTATATATATTTTTTTTTTATTTGTTAGTAATTACATTATACTTTTTAAATAGTGTATATAATGTTTGAATTTCTATAAGTTAGTTTTTGGCCTGATTTGTATTTTATTTTGTATTAATTCATCTTTGTTATTCTAATGGGAGTTAGTCCCAGCCTTTGAGTATTATATTTCAAAAATGATCTTATTTTTGCTACCTTCAAAAGTAACATTTTTGTGTAAAGTATGTCATATAATCTCTCGTTTAACTAATCTCTAAACATCAGATTTTGCGACAAAAAATCTTGTAATTAATGAATATGTAATGAAATGAAATATGGCTAAGCCTTAAGGGATAAACCACTATCGTTTTTATTATTGTTTTGTTTTCAAATTAAAGATAACTAATTTCTATCAACAATTGAGGTTATTTTATCCATAAATTATCTCTTTCTTTCTGATTTTCCTTAGTTTCTTAAGGTACCCATTAATTTATTATTTTTTTAATAAAACAGAGTTATGAGTCTCTTGAAGATAATGTTTTTTTTTTTTTTTTTAAAGAGGCCTTCTTGAAGATTGAAGTAGGCGTGGCAGTAAGGCTCATATTTAATTTAAAATTCTGTTTATTCGGCGTTTCAGGACCTAATTTCATCTTCAAAAATTTTTTCAACAAAAATTATTTTTTTGATATTAAATTATTTTTTATTTATACGTATACTTAACTACTACAGCAGTACTTTTCAAGGGCACTTAATGTTCTTATATACGGTGTCTTCAAGGAATATAACAATGCTAAGCAATAGAGGGAGGATGTAGTATCGTATGGGAATGACAAGTATCAATAAATGCATAAACAAGGAGAAGAAGAATATGGTTATTTTTGGTATTTGGTTTACACCTACAAACAGCTGTTCAATGAAATTATAATAAATAAATACATGTTAGTAGATGACTATCTATCTACTTGATAATGAGCTAATCAGTTCGAAGTATCGTTGGAAGTAGAATAAAAAAATTAAAGTATAGGGCCTTATATATTCCTTGAAGACATCATGTATAATTTTTTATATTTAATAAATATTACAACATTCTGTCACTTGGACATTAGTATTGTATTATTATTACACAAATTTAAACAAAATAATTTAATAACATTTAAGTATTGAACTAACATCAGAGGTAAATTCAGGGTATCCTGTAAATAATGAGTAATATTATTGAGTTGTATGAGTAATACGTGAGGATTAAGTTCATATAAACAAAAAATACGATTTTTCAATAAAAAACAAGAAATTAGTTTTTACATTTTCAGCTTTTTGTTGGATAGAAACTGATTGATAAGAAAAATCTGTTTAAGTAAGACCATCTCCATTTTTATAATTTTTAACTAGATAAAATTTTCTTGTAATTAAATTAGATTTGTTTATACTAATTAAATAAGGTTTCTTAGCGGCTAAATTACCTAATCCAGTTTTATGTTTCGTCTTGGATTATTCAAGATATTTTAATCAGCTTCCTATTCTTAGTTACCCAAATTAAAATTCCTCGTTTAATAATATTCAAGGAAATATACTTAAGTTGCTTTTTGTTACAGAATTAGCGAAAGTTTGGCTGTGGACACCTATAAAGTAACTAAGTTTTCAGAAACAATGATTACAATAAATTATAACAAAGGTTTTATTTCATTTTTTTAGCCTAATAGATTAATTAATGAATTACACTTTTCATGTACATACTAAACAAAACTATTTAAAAAAAAAAAAACTACGGTGTGTGCTTTAAACCACACGATAGAAGAGAAAGCATCAACAAGGCCAGATTAATAATATGAAATATTTATTTTTGTTCTATATTTATAAAGTGATAACATTTAAAATAATAATTGTATGTAAATTACCCTAACAAACTTTGCTCTGACTGATTTGTATCAGACTCTAAAAATAATACAACAGGTTTATAATAAATAAAGTATGTGATAAATACTTTTGAATGAAATGTATTTGTTAAATATTTAACAAAAACTTCGTAATTTTTTTAATATAACTTCTGTAACGGGGGTCCATAATTTGTCGAAACTCTATCGAGTGCAACGAAAAATCAAATATGAACAAATAATTTTTTATTTTTATGACAAATTTAAAACAATATCTGTATTGATTTTCGCTTATTTGTTTCTGAATTCAAATGTGTACAAATATTCACCTATTTCCTATACTAAGTCTCCAACTCGGCTTATGTCAAAATACAATTTGCATTTATAGCTCATTACGAAGACGATGAAATCCCGAAAATTTCCCTGTCCTATATTATTCAGCTCCAAATTTTAGTTTTTAAAATATTGTAATCTATATTGTTCAATGAAATTCGTTATCATATGGTTATCGACACTAATGTTTTTTTTTCTTTTCGAATCTCTAACTCGGGCTACCGTAAATACAATTTTGAATTATAGTTCACTACAAAGATGATGAAACATTGAAAATCGCTTTTAGTTTGGAGGTCCGATTTATAACTTCTATGATATTTTATTACAAATTTAAAAACTGTGCAATTAGGTGAATCGAGCTAACTTTAGCCGTATGAGCGCTACACATCTGGGTGTGAGAACCCTATCTCATTCTGTATATGTTGATAGAGTATTCCCAACGAGTCTAAAATAATATCCTCTGTCATTGTCTTATCCAACACTGAAGACAAAATCACTTGTAACACCAAAGATGGTTCCAGTACTTCCGAATCACAGCTGGGAAATTTCTCTCTCCGAAATCATGGCTATATTACATTCACTTACGTATATGTGATATATAGTAAGGGTAAGTATTACAATTGAGAAATTTTTTAAATCTGAGTTTTCAACGAAAATACACGTTTTGAGTCCAAATAACCAAGTCCCGAAAAATGGTCTGTGTGTCAGTGTATTTGTATGTTAGCAATCTAGCTCAAAAACGAAAAGTCCTACGAAACTGATATTACGTATTTAAGATAGGTATGCCTTAGATGTGACAGCAACATTTTCCTTAAAATCGGCTAACCGGAAGTGCCACTTTATATCAACACTGAAACACATTTTTAAAATTTTCCCAAAAACAGCTTTAAAAATTTTGATTAAACTCGGTGTATCGTTGTATAATTGTAATTAGTAGTCTTTAATATCAATTAGGTCTTATCCCCATTGATGTCACTTTACAGGAATTAAATGCCCAATGTTCATAACATTCTTCCTGTAAAGTACTTTTAATATGGTTTATTTTAAAAAGTTAATGATTTCACATTATCCAGAGTTGCAAAAAAATGCTAAATATAACTTTTGAAAGAATTTGATAAGTTAATAAAGGAAAAAAAAAATAAAAATGCTTATCCAGGTCGAAAATGAACCTGCGTTGCTATAGACTGTAGCGCCGAAACGATGTACCGATTTCAATGAAACTTCGCTAAAGTCATTTTCTCGACACCCTTTAAATTTATCTATATAACATACTTCAACGAAAAGGAGCTGGAAAAAAAAGTTACGAGGGGTGGTAAAATTAAATTCCGAATAACCCAAAAAGTATAAACTTTTCTTCGATATTGTGATAAGATGTTTCAAAGGTACTTAAATTTCCTAAAAAATGAAAGAAGTTTCATCAAAATCAAAGCACTGTTAGTGAAGATTATAGAGAGAGAGACTTATCTGTATATGTAATGTATAATAAGGGTGAGTATTGCGATCGAGAATTTGTTTTTCTTTTAAATAGAGTATACATTTTTTATAAATTTTCTCTTTCTCTGCTTGAAACTTTATGTTTTGATCTTGATCGTTTGTTTCAAACCTGATCGTGGGATGAACTATAAGCGTTTCGTTTTCTATTGCGTTAAACACAAAAATGTCAACAACTTACAGCCTTATACAGGCCTTATATATATACAGCCTTCTGTATCTATACAATAAATACACTTCAAAGAAACATGTAAAGTTGTTTATTTCTAGGATTCTTGTTAGTAATATAAGGATTATTACGATTTATAATATATCCTTGTTGCAGGTACTTGGCTATTATACGACCACTGCAGCCCCGGATGACCAAGACGAACGCCATGTTCGGGATCGCCATGATCTGGGCGACCAGCCTACTCATCGGGATGCCATGCCTAGTCTTCTCCACCACCCTCACTCACAGGTGAGGGCATTCTGTAGTTAAGAAGAAGCTTTATAATATGTAGCGGAGAGAATCTGTAATATTTAGTATTCAGTAAATATGGAGAGTAAATATTACTTGTGGTCCTAATGAGGTTAATTTATTGTTTTCAAATTATTCCTCTTTGGGATTTTCCAATAAGATAATTGAGCACTTGTATCGCGCGCGGAAAATTGACTGTCGTTAGATATAGGATAGAGGAATTAGAAAAAGAAAACAACCTTCAAAAATGTCTTCATTCAAGTTTTTCTGTTTACGCAGGACTATGTTCAGTGGGCACTGTTACACCCTATCTTAATGATAGTTTTGATATTGTGACTATAGGGTCAATTTTTCGATGGAGGACAGAATTGCTCGATTTAAGCGTAAAACCATGGATGGTGGAGGACAACGATTGCTCTCCGGTATGTAACTCTCAAGAAAAAGAGGATATCATTCACTTTGAGGGGACTTGTCACATGTACGGTGAGTTAAGAGAGAAATGTTTTGGGCAGCGGACCTGTTCTCCGGAAGAATTATTTTTGGTTTCTTAAAGGGCTCTAACTGGAAAGCCTTAAGCAATTATGTACAGCAGGCCACATTGCAAAGATCTCAATTAGTCAGATAGTAAGCTATTGATACAATATCGTGTTTATTTATTGTAAAGTTTGTTTTATTTTTATATTGTATTTGATGGTTATTATTATTGTTGTTGAATTCAAATTTCTTATTTATTGAATTTGTGATGCATTAATGTTTGTTTTTTGAAAACTCTATTTAAACAAATGAAACAGTGAAGAAGAAAATTGCTAGAGTGGGTGTATAAAAATGTAATAATACTGTTGATATATATTGTTTCTCATTTAGTTTAGTTATAAATTTAATGAATATTTATTATTAATTACACACAGACCTCGACAGACGGAGTTTTCAATTGTCTATGTGGTTTGTATATATATATATATATATATATATATATATTTTACTTTGTATATTTATTTTTAAAAGTATAATAAACACGTTTTCATTCATTCATTCATTCAATTGAGCACTTATACGAATTATCAATTTGTTGTCTTCATTGAAGCTTAACTTACAATAACAATATAGCAAACAGTCCCATTTTTTCCTGTAGCATATACCTATCAATGTAGGACTTATCTAATTAACTACCATTCAAGTATTGGTAATTTATTACTGAAAAAAATTTAATATAACTTATTGCGGGTTTCGTGGATTCTCTTAATAGCTTTGCGATCAGTGATGCTAAGTCAACAGAATCGGCTTTATCGGTATCTAGGGAACGATAAGGTGAGGAAGTTGGTTCAGTTGCCGCAGCGAGTTCATATTGAAATGTTTATTTATTTATTGATCGATTCTTCAAAACTTTTTGTACGAAGTTTGTACAGTTCAAACTGTTTTTATCAATGGGCATAACTCGAAGAGACTTTACTGTAAACTGTATGCATTTGAAAGGTAATAATAATTTCCTAAAGATAAGTTCTGCTTAGTATGAGAGTTCTGATCGTTCAGTTATGGATGATATTCGATAGTATTATCGATAGCTCCATCAATTGTTCCATTGACAATCGATAGTTCGTGTAATCTAGTTAAATCATATCAATTTCAAATTGTATTTCCTTATTGGAATATTTTTAGCAATACGTCATCATATTTCTACTTATATGCAATATATTGTGTTAATATAACAATATAATAGTGAAAGTAATTGAAAGTATGAATGCGTATTACCAAAAATATTACTATCAATATATAAATCTGAGGAAAAAAAAAAAAACTCTCCAGAAATGAAAGAATAAAATCTTAAATTATTGAGTGGCATAAACATACCGGCATAGTTTTAATGCAATATTATCAAATCAAATTTAGAAAATTACCATCTTGGAAGTTAAAGTTCATTAGAATTTCTCTCAGATAATACTACTTTTTTTCAAGTATTTGAAACTATATTATTAATTAATAATAATTTATCAACGAAAATGACATTCATGGAAACGAATGTAATTTATTTTTCTAAATAAATGTATTTTTGTTGAATTTCATTGAAATTCTATTGTATTTCGTTCCCCTCTATCCCACAATAGTCATCTCCGGTGACCTCAATACCAATTTCCTATCTAACTCCAATGACAAATCCTATCTAGAAGACCTATTCTTCTCCCTTCGCCTCTTTATCGTTACTTTTTCTCTCTGTCACCTTACTAGCAGGCCCGATACTTGGCTAGATTTCTCCATTATAGACTGCACAAAACCTCCTCTCCTCTTCTCAACTGCAAGTATCCTTTTTGTCATCTCACGATCTGATACAAATAACATATAATATCCGAACTCCTCATATCCAGCCTCGAACTATCACCTTCCGCCATCTAAATTCCCTTACACGAGAACAAATATTACCTGACCTGGAAATCCTAAATTGGAATGGAGTATATTCTTGCTCTTCTATCGACTCTATGGTTGATATTCTTACTACCAATCTCCTCAATATCCTCAATACCCATGCCCCTCTCAAAACCTCTACATTTCGTCAACGGCCTGCTCCTTGGATGTGTCAGGAAATTAAAGACCTGCAGAAGAGGCGCGACGCTGCTCGTAGACGCTTCAGACGTACTAGGCTTGCAGACGACTACCAAGCGTTCAAGGGTGCTACGCAACTTGACACAAACAAGGATCCGACGTGCGAAGTCCCTCTACTTCCACGAAGCCCTTTTCTCAACTCCTGATGTCAAATTAAAATAACTACTGCTTCGTAAACTTTCATTTTGTGATCCTTCCAGATTCCCTACCCTAGCCTTTCCAATATCCCCTGATGATCTAAATTCGAATTTTAAATCTGTTGCTAATACCTCTCCTTTATCCTCCTGTTCCGGCCTTCCTCTAGAGATACCATTTAACGACAATAAATTTTATTTCTCTAACATTTCTCCCACAGACCTTTTAACCGCTGTAATGAAATAATCAATTCCATAGGACCTGATGGCATCCCTGCCAAATTAATAAAATTATGTTTTCCCGAAATCCTCCCAGTTCTCCTTTTCATCTACAATCTCTCCCTTCAGAATTCAGTATTCCCAACATCTTGGAAAAAAGCCATTGTCTTCCTTTGAATAAAAATTCTAATCCAACCTCACCCGAAGATTTCCGCCCAATCTCAATTCTTTCCATTCTCTCAAAATCCCTAGAAAGATTGAAAAGTCCAACCAACTTGATCCTCTCCAATCTGGTCTCCGACCCAGCTCCTCCATACAATCCGCCTTAATTAAAATCACTAGCGACATTCAAACTGCAATAGATGATAAAAAAGTTAACTATCTTTCCTTCTCGACTTCGATTCCATTAACCATTCCATCCTTTTCAACAAATTGAAATTATTATCCTATCCCAATAGTTCCATCTCTTGTTTTCAATCTTTCCTTTTACAACGTACCCAAGCCGTCTCTATATCCAATCAAGCACTATCTGCCTTCCTTTCTTTATCCTCTGGAGTTGCCCAGGGTTCAAGCATATCTCCTCTCGTTTTCATCTCATACATTAACGACCTACCTAAATCAATTCTCCATTGCTCCCCCGCCTTTATGCAGACGATTCTCAGATCTACCTATAATTTCCCCTCCTTAGTTATTGGAGGCATTTGCCGAGATCCAAGAAGACCTAGATCGAATCAGTGCCTGGGCAAATGTAAACGGATTAAGGTTAAATTCTGCCAAAACTCAGGCCATTGTCATTGCTTCCAAGCCCCTTCTTAGATCCCATCCAGACTTTCCCATCCTACACCTTAATGACCAGCCAATCTTCTTATACTCCTCTGTTAAAAATTTAGAATTTTTTCATTGATCAAAACCTCTCCTGGAATCACCATATTTCTCATATCTCTCGACGTATAATTTCCACCCTCATACTATTCCATCGCTTCCGCCATCTCCTACCTATAAAGAATGTTTACCTTATATTTTCTTTACATTATTTGTTTTTTTCTATTGATTTTATTTTGGCCAGATGTAATCTTTTCATTTTGTTCTATTTTGTTATTCTCAAGGGACTTGGTCTCAGAATACAGTTATTTTCTATCTATCTATCTATCTATTTTTCTGTGAATAATATTTTTCAATTGTTTGTTTATTAATTTTTCTTAGTTCTCACAATAACATAAATCTTCATGAATGTTCCAACATAAATGTTAATTGTTATTACAAACTTGAAGTAATATTATACAGTTAATAACTAAAGTAACTAAATTAAGGAAACATAAACCTTCCTGGAATCTGTGACTAAACTATCGATAGTTTTCACTTATCTATATATGAAATATATAGTAAAGGAAAGTATTGCGATCGTGAAAATTTTCGGATCTCGGTTTTCAACGGAAATATACGCTTTGAGTTCCCCTGAGTCCAAATAACCAAGTCCCGCAAAATGGTCTGTGTGTGTGTGTGTGTGTGTGTGTTAACAGTCCAGCTCAAAAACGAAAAGTCGTACGAAAGTGAAATTGCATATTTAAGGTTTTTATATACTAGGTATGTTACAGCAACATTTTTTGTCAAAATCAGCTAAGCAGAAGTGGCACTTTATATCAGGGACTAAACACATTTTTACGATTTTCTCGAAAACGGCTCTAACGATTTTGATTAAATTTATTACATCTGTTTAAAATTAAGCAGTTTTAAATAAAATGTAGTTTTTATTCTGATTGATATTCTGTGACAGGGCTTAAATAGCTAATTTTCAATATTCAGTTCCTCTAAAGTACCTTCAATTTTTTTTTTTTTTTTTAAACAATTGACCATTTCACATTAATCTCTAATATAAAAGATAGTTAAATATAAAAAGAAAAAATAAATAATTCCTAATACTTTAGGAAACAATCAAGATAAATAATAGCTTCTATAGAGAACCTGAATTAATTTAGTATTGTTAAGTGAAAGAAACAGAATAGATAAATTTCATTTTACTTTATTAATAAAGGGAATATTGCTGTTATTACAAGAACGCTGGCTAAACGTTATGAACCGTTACCATAACAGACATCAAGATAAACACAGCCTAGTTTCAAGCTGTTCATGAAAGATAAGTGGATTACAGGTCCTCTCCAATAAGCAGAGCCAACTAAGTTATCAAATTCGAGCGGTAATTCCATCCATGGAATCCATCAATCGATTTAATCCAACGCAGATGGGCAGCGATTAGTTCTGAGTTAAGGGAATAAAATATATATATATATATATATATATATATATATATATATATATATATATATATATATATATATAAAAGAAAGATTACGAAATACATACCTATTGAATTATTGAAATTCAAATCAGAAAAGAATACAAGTAGAAAGTAAACTACTAATAAGTATGTTCAGGAAATTGAGGAATAGCAGCACTGATGTTATTATGAGGTTAATTCCAGTGG